CTCCTACTGCTCTACTTGTGACCCAATTCAGCCACGAGAGCAACACTGTTATGTCCCTATATCATGGGACTAAGGCCACAGAGAGCTAAATCCCATTAGGTGTTTCAAATAATCTGTTCTTGGATGCAATTCAGCTCAGAAAAAAAACCCAAACCAAAAAACCCCAACAACCAGGCCTTGATAGGAACATATCAAACAATGAAGCAGCCTGAATAAAGACGTTTGTAATTTTGCCAGCTTTCCCTCCTTATGCAATTGTCTTCCGAAAGAAGATGCAGCAGCAGTATCTTCTATGTCAAAGAACACTGAAAATTTTCTGGCCCTAAAGCATGTACATTTATAAATATGACTTAAATATTTATTCAGTAATTTATATATACAGCCAAAATCCCTGAAATGCATACACTGTCAGGTAAGAATTCAACTTGCCAGTGACAAAGGGAAAAGTTTTGGCTGCAGTTACTGGAGTAAACCCCTAATTTTTAATGATATTTATCCCTTTTATCATCTCCAAAAGAAAGAGGCATTCCAGTCATGCACATATCACAGCAGTTACTATTCATAATAATTTGCTAATAAATACATTAACAAATACTGGCATGTTTCACAAAATACTGCACTGAGGATCCTGAGGAACAAAACCAGATCCAATCCAGACATTCCAAATTGTAAGTATAGACCTGATCTTTATAACTCAAATTCTCTGCTAAAACAGAGCATTTCCCTATGCAGAAGAAAATGCAGCAGTAATACAAAAAGAAAACCTTATTCTTTGTCTGTGATTACTCCACACATCTCATTAGACCTTATGGCAATATTTTTTATTTCTTCTTCAAATATATCACATGATGGAAGCCTGACAGAACATGAGCAGGCCCAAAAGGTAATTAAAATGTAAAATTATGATGCAAAGACAGATAACTAGATAAACAGGTACATACACACATAGCAGAAAACCTACATGAATTTTTTGCATTGGAGCTCATTACTAAGGAGCATAGGGAGGGTCCCAGGTTGGAACCCTTCAGGATGAGTTTGAGGAACTGTCTCAAAGTGAAAGGTTAGCAGTAGAGATTTTAGTAAACAAACAAAACCAATTTTTTACAGAAAATCACCAGGCCCAGATACCAAAGTCACCTACAGGAACTCAAACATGACATGAACAGCCCAGCAGTGATGGGTAACCTACTCTGTTTCATTCCCAGCTCCAAGAAACAGGGGATGCAAATGTGTCAGTTTTTCAGAAGTGCTCTAACGGTGACCCAAAAAACTCTGACCACTATGTCTACCTTCCATACAGAGAAGCTGTTAAAAGAAAAATAAATTAAAAAATTGAGTCAATGTATTTCTCGGCAAAGGAAACTGTGCCTGACTTGTCCACCAACTTTATTTAAAGAGTTGACTAACATACAGATAAAAAGAATGTGGTTCACCCAGTGCAGTTTCCCAAAGCTTTCCAACTAGGGCTAACACTTTCAGAGAAACCAAGAGATCTCTGAACAATGCAGACAGTCCTCACGTGCATTAAGAATCTGGAAGACAGTAAACAATTGCCTCATTTTGCAAAGGTGAATCTTACAGCCACATCTTTTGGGGCTTGTGCTATTCAACATTTTGATAAGTGATTCTCAAAAGGATGAACAACTGATTAACAAAGTTTGCTAACACCAACACAAAATTACTTAGGAGAGTTGCATGTGAAGCTGAGTGAAAGGGCTGTAGAAAGATCTCATACTGCCGAGTGAGTACTTATAAAATAGCAGATAAAATTCAACTTTGATGAACGTAAAGAAATTAAAACCAGTTGTTTCTCATTAACCCACAAGACTGTGCCCTAAATTAGCAGTTACTACTCAGGAGTATCATCCACCAGTTAATGCAGGTAATTTTCTAAAAATAACAGTTCAACACTCAGCAGCAGAACTCAAGGACAGTACGCAAGGAGAATAGTCATTCTGTATATAGCTGTACAATCTCACACTCTTTCCCTAAACCATCCACCACCAGTGTCACGTACAGGCCAATAATCTCATACCTTGGATAACAGACCATTTCATGCTCTGCACAGCTACAAAACCAAAACAAACAGGTTTGAAACTTACACGAACGGCTGTGTCCACACCCGCTGAGGCCAGTCGATTGATCTTCCCATCAGCTCCATGTTGGAAGTCTAAGCTGTAAACAGGCTCCTTATTATGCCACACTATTTCACAAGTGATGACCTTCATATCTGCTGAAGAAAACAGAGCAAATACTGGATAAACTCTTGTTTCTTATGACTAAGGCAATCAAAATTAGCGCAGGTTTTGCAAGCACTGCAGACAGATCCCATAACAATTTCACTGCAGAAACTGACAGAAGGATGGTTTAAGGAAGACCATTTTTAAGTACCGTGATTTATTATGGCTAAAGTTACTGCCTAGACACTGCAGGAGAAGGGCAGAAAAGCCATGTCTCTCAGTGGAATTAAGTGTTGTGACAGAAGCGCAGGGCAGGGTTACAGTGAACAGAAAATCCCGAGGGCAGACACGGCAGCTTCTCCCTTTCGGCCCCGGGGCGTGCCTGCACTCCCTCGGCTGCCCTGGCCCTGCCCTACCCCAGCTCCTGGCGGGGGTGAGCCCTCGCCGAGCAGCGCCGGACTGGCACTAGGCGCACCCGTCCAGCCCTCGGGGTAACAACTACTTCTGTACCAGCAGCGAAGCACCGAGAAGCCAAAACAAAGGAAAGGCACGAAGGCCCCGGCGGGGGCAGGAGGAAGGCAGAGCCGCTCCCCAGGCGGCACCGCTACCAGGGGCCGCTCCCCCAAGC